ATTACCTAGCTGTCGGTAAATAATTTGGTATTTATTCCACATTTACTTTGTCGTGAATTGCCTCCTATATTCACAACAACTCAATAAAAGTAGACATTTCAAACGCTTTTATAAAAAATATATTTATTCTCGCCCCGTCTCAACACAATCACACAAAGTTCTTGCAATGTACAAACCGCATGATTGACACTTGCGCATTAATTAACTTCTGGTATGCCATAAACTGTTAAATATTAAATATTGACAATCTCCAACATACTTAAATGGTCGATGTTTCTTGAAACTTTACGTTAAATATCGATGAAATCTCTTGTACACTAAAGTTGATGTTATTAAAATTACAATTTACAAAAAAAACAGACAAGGAACTACATTTAGGAATGTTTTACTAATCGAGTCCATGTTTTACTAATCGAGTCCATGTTTTACTAATCGAGTCCATGTTTTACTAATCGAGTCTATGTTTTACTAATCGAGTCCATGTTTTACTAATCGAGTCCATGTTTTACTAATCAAGTCCATGTTTTACTAATCGAGTTCATGTTTTACTAATCGAGTCCATGTTTTACTAATAGAGTCCATGTTTTACTAATAGAGTCCATGTTTTACTAATCAAGTCCATGTTTTACTAATAGAGTCCATGTTTTACTAATAGAGTCCATGTTTTACTAATCGAGTCCATGTTTACTAATACAGTCCATGGTTTACTAATAGAGTCCATGTTTTACTAATCGAGTCCATGTTTTACTAATCGAGTCCATGTTTTACTAATAGAGTCCATGTTTTACTAATAGAGTCCATGTTTTACTAATCGGGTCCAGTCCATGTTTTACTAATGAGTCCAGTCCATGTTTTACTACATGCCGAGTAAGTCACAGGCGGCCCAGACGTGTACTGTATCAGAGTACAGTAATTGTCAGTAAATATATCATTATAGAATATACTAAACAATAAAATTTGTAATGAATTTTATATTTTAAAATCATATTTACTTGCCTACTTTGATTGCATGTGATTGTCTTTTATTTCTGAGCGACTTTACATTCGATGCCTGCGACTGTCTTCACAGGTGATAGTATTGAATACAAAGGCTAACGATTCCAGTTCCCGAACGGCCGACACGAACAATTCAGCTCGAAATATATCCCCTTCAAATTGCTTTGTTCCCGGTAAAACTTCGCCAGCGTATAGAATAAATACCCATCTTCGAACATACAAGGAATTTTAACACGTCCTATAATTTTTGCAACGGATTTTTAGCGAAATGTTTCGAGACTAAATTTCTATGGAACTTAGAAAGCCCGATAATTGATACGGCGCTTGCTTGGCGACCGAGCCTCCTTTACCGTTTGGATTGTCAGGGGGGGGGATTCAAATAAAAAACACTTATTTCAGGCAACAGCCAGCCAATCAACGCCGCGATGCCGACTGTTTACAATATTTGAAATCTAATATTGTAATTTATCAACAACAAAACTCTTTTGAAAAAAAAACTCTTTCAAAAGAGTTTCCCCCCCTGACAATCCAAACGGTAAAGGAGGCTCGGTCGCCAAGCAAGCACCGTATCAATTATCGGGCTTTCTAAGTTCCATAGAAATTTAGTCTCGAAACATTTCGCTAAAAATCCGTTGCAAAAATTATAGGACGTGTTAAAATTCCTTGTATGTTCGAAGATGGGTATTTATTCTATACGCTGGCGAAGTTTTACCGGGAACAAAGCAATTCGAAGGGGATATATTTCGAGCTGAATTGTTCGTGTCGGCCGTTCGGGAACTGGAATCGTTAGCCTTTGTATTCAATACTATCACCTGTGAAGACATTCGCAGGCATCGAATGTAAAGTCGCTCAGAAATAAAAGACAATCACATGCAATCAAAGTAGGCAAGTAAATATGATTTTAAAATATAAAATTCATTACAAATTTTATTGTTTAGTATATTCTATGATATATTTACTGACAATTACTGTACTCTGATACAGTACACGTCTGGGCCGCCTGTGAGTAAGTGTGCTTCGATACTAAAATTCTGGCAAATTTTACAGGAAAAGTTTTGTCTGAATGAAGATTTAATTCATTTGAAGGGTTCTATTTTAAGGGCAGAATGTCTTCCTACCGCTTGTTCCGGACAACCTGAAACTTAATGGATTACAGGCTAGGCTTGGGTAAATTATGCGGCATAATTTCGAGCATAATAGGGCTTCAGAAGCATAATAGACACTTAAGCCCCGTTAACACGAGCAATTTTTATGTGACAATTTTGATGTGACAATTTTTATTTGCTCGTGTAGACGAGGAAAATTGGGCAATTTTTGTGTGGCAAATACATTTGCTGAAAAGCTAGCGCGTTAGCTTTTATATGACAAATAAAAGTTGTCACATACGAAAAATTGCTCGTGTAGATGGCATGTGCTAAAACCTGGACTGGACTATGGACTAGACTGGACTATGGACTGGACTGGACTGGACTGGATTTTGGACTGGATTTTGGACTGGATTTTGGACTGGATTATGGACTGGATTATGGACTGGATTATGGACTGGATTATGGACTGGACTATGGACTGGACGCATTTGTGCTAAAACCTGGGATTTTTATTTAGCTACAGC